CGAACAAGTCAACCTGACACTGCATATTACTCCAAGTGCCTGGAAGCTTCAGAGCCCCCTTGCCTCCAGCGCCTTTGGCTTTGCATTGCCACTTCGCTGCACACTGCTTTCATGGGACTTGCTTACAGGATCTGACATGGCTCCGCATTCGAGAAGCAGAAATCAGCGAGTCTCAAGTTAACACCTCAGGGCCCGTGTCACACCTGTGTAGACACGGGCGCATTCAACCTTGTCCACCAGTATGTCTCTATGACAGGATGCTCTTCGCGAGTAGCTTGATCAGTGAGTTAGACACCCCCATGCATCACATTTCCTCCCTACCTTCAGCCACAACAGCATTCCCTCTCGTGCACAGTCGTAAGATGGACCGCCCGGCGAACGACTCAAGGCCGCGGCTGCCTGGGGCAAGTCTTCGCCCACAGCAGTCCCTTTCAGACAAGAAGCGAACCGCGAGCAGAGAAACGGATGTGACGTGGCGCCGAGCTCCAGGCACAGGCGTGACTGTGTGCATTGCACCACTAGCTTGGGCACCACGAAGCCCTTGGCCTACAGCGAAGCGAGAGCTGGGACCTGCGAGGTGCGACAGCGTGCAATGGAGGCCACCTTCTGCGCCAACCATTCCCATGTCGTCTGTTCCTGCCACGGGCTCATACAAGCACGCGTCGCCATCGCGGCTCTGCAGTTAGGAAGAGACCTCCCTGCCAGAATCCGATTCCGACTGCTCCTGCCACGGGCTCAAAACAACACGTCTGCGCTGCGTTTTTCAGGCGCTGCCCCGGGGGCGAGACCTCCACCGCTTGAGGCGGGCGCTCCTGCTTTGCACAGGGCTGCCATGTTTCAAGTTCACGCCATGCACAGCTCCAAATGCTACACAGAGCTCCGTCCTTGCTCACCCGAAGGCGGGCAACCAACGCCGGCCAAAACTCAGCCGCAAGGTCCCTCCTAACGCAGCTCTCAAGCCCAAGATAGCCCAAGGCATCCGACAAGTTCCGGAAGGCGTGTCGCCGGTGTCTTGTAAAATGCAGCCTCTGGATTTCTGGCTTACTTACGGAGCTTCGAAAGATAGCTCCTTGGCCTTGTTAAAGACTATGCTGAGAGGGGGAACACAAAATTGACCGGTCCCACCCCCTGGCCGTGATGCTTCCGGCAACTGTGGCAAGGTGCACTTGCCGCACTCCTGGTCGTTGCGAACCAGAACCTTGCACGAGGCACGGACCGATATAAGCACGTCTGCATCCACCTTTCTGGATAAGCACCTTTCAGCATTTCTGGATTTACATCTGCACCACGCATAGAGGTAAGGGCCGTGCAAGGCCGGTGCCGGCAGGAAGATTGTCAGGAGCGCGGCGTTCCCGACCCAGAAGCCTGACGGAAAGTACAAAAGCTGCAACAGACCTCCTACCGGCACCCTATAAACTAAGATCACGATTGAATGGCTGTGTTTTCTGGACACGATTCGTACTTGCAAAATCTTGCAGAACCTGGGATTCCTCCACCCTGCGAAGAGCTAGGGAGACTGGCCTGCGGTGCGTCTCCAAACTTCCGCTTGGCAGGCCGCGAGTTGGAACACGGCGCCAGCAAACAGACAATCCTGCGAGCGCTGATGGCCCGAGGCCCCAATGTAAAGACACCCTGCGAACCTTGGACCTTCCAGGGAAGAGCACACGGAACAGTGCCAAGCCGGGGTGGTCCGTCCTTCAAGAGGTCCACCCGCGGCCCTAGAACAGGGAAGACCTGAGTGCGGCATTCAAGTCTCTGTAGATTTCTCAAGCATCCGCCTACCGCCACGGTGTGAGGCCGGAGCGCTCATGACGATGGAAATGGCAGGGTCTGCAAGGTCGATCCGGCGCTTCATCCACGCCGCCTGCAGCCGGGAAGACTGACAGCGACGGCCCTCCGGCCATGGTCCGGCCCAGGCAGGTCGCCTGCAGCACGCGGAAAGAGTACCCCAAGACGTCCGTAGCGAGGACGGCCTGAAACTCCGAAAGGCTCAACAAAACCCGGGAGGTGGTCGGCACCGGGCCCCGGGCCACGAGCCAAAGCCAGATGACCTCCCACGCCAGCCCTGCCCCGCCCAGCATCAAATTCTCTGCTTTGGACCAGGAGGTCAAAGCCTTAAGGCAGGGCCAACGCCAAGAAGGCACACGACGGGGTCGTTGACGGGACCGCCGAGCCCGGTGCCAACAAGAAGAGTATGTTGCAGACGTAGTAAACCTGAAAGGGAACGGCTTTTGATGTGCTGCCATCCGGCACGTCCAGGACGAGGCCCGCACTGCAAAGACCAGGGTCTTAAGTGGCCCCAGCTGCATCTCGAACTCCTCTTCGTCCTTCTGCTCCTGGGCCCCTTCGCCTGCCGGGAGCGGGAGTAATTGAAGAGGGCACCAAGCGACAGGCATCCCACGGTGCCCAGCTCTCCTGCGCCCGCTTCTGCTTGAAAGAGCCGGGTGTATTCTTCTGTGGGAGCTCGGGCCGATCGGGCCGAACGGTCGGGCCTAACAGCAGCCAGAACAACAAAAATTAACAGAACAATTCAAGCCCAAAATCGTCTTGCATCGTAGACTTCCAATTTCTGCTACCTCTGGCCTGTGGCCACCTCTTGGTGCGTGGCCCTGTCGAAGATCCCCCCGTGGGTGCCAACAAGGACACCAGCGCCACTGGCGCGCTTGCCGCCACGACGGCCAGACCTCAAGCAGGGCGCGCCTCTACCACCCACATTCTACCTAGCTCGTCTTGAACGGAAGCGTCTCACCTTACAATCTGCGATAGCTCACTCCGCTTTCAAACGCTGTGCTACCCACCAGACCAGCCGACATGAACCTTCGATGCCAAGTGCTGAAAAGCTGTGAGCTCGGGGTCCTCTGCTGCCCTCCGCTCGGGCTACGCAAGCCGCATCGCCCACGTACATGTCCGCATCACGCACCCAAAATCCATCCGTGTCCACACTGCGAGAGACTGCCAGCTGGAAAAGCCAACAGAGACAGAGAGACAGAGAGACAGAGAGAGAGAGAGAGAGAGAGAGAAAAAAAAAACACACACATTGCCAAAGTCATGATATGCAGTCTTTCGATGCCATCGCCAACGTCCCGAAGATTCCGATGTCTGGTGGGCTGACCCTGACCCAAGCCTGGTGTTGAGCTGCCAATACATCCACTCGGGGTCTTCGGCCTAGTCCTTCGCCATCCCATGTCATTGTTTTACCTTCTTGCTCCGATGATGGACCATGCACGTGTCGCGAGAATTGCAGGCACACAGGGGGGGGGTCAGACCTGGTTTCCCGCCTTGATGCGCAGCTTCTTTGGGTAGGGAGGTAGCCCTGCTCGCTGCCGTCACTCATGGTACATGTCTACTTGAAATCTCACACACACACACACACAGTGCCTCTTGCCTTCCTTGTGATCCGACATGCCCTGAACACGACATGCCCCCTGCAGCCGACAACCTGAGTGCCCCGGCCAATGGTGAGGACGCCCACGATGAGCGCATCGATGCGACGCGCCGCCATAGCCGCGTCCTCGGGCATCTCCAGGGCGGTGGGCAGCACCGCCTGCGACGGGCGCACGCTTTGCCGGCATACTTCATTGGGAGCACCTCCAAACTGGTCTCCGACAAAGTCTCCTGCCTGGGGCTCGTCCAGCGGCTGCCAGCCCGGAACCGAGCGCATCTGCCGCTCCATGGCCTGGAACCTGGCATGTGCGGAACGGCCAGAAAAAAGCAAGCTTGATCCTAGGCGCCGGGGCAGGAGAAAATAACTCACTCGAAAGGAGTTCAACAACTGCATGGCAGCATAGCAAGACTGAACCAAAATGGGACCTGGTTTTGGGTTCTGGCATGGAACTCAACGCAATTCGCAGCAGCTTCTCGCAGGACAAGCCAAAGAGATCAGAAGAGCAGTGTTCTTAGGTTCATTTCTCAAGCGGCTTTCAGCATTCGGGGCTGAAGCCCTCGGCCCGGAAGTCCTTGCACTCAGATCTGCCACGTTCGAAATTCACGCAGAGATTCCCGAGCGGCTCTGGCCTGGGACGCAATGCCTCTGGCCTGGGCGGTAGGATTTAGGGCCCCTTGCTGCAGAGGTCTTCTTCCTTCTTCATGGGCGAGTTTTTCTATCCTGAGTTCAGACTATAGCACAGATCCGAATTGTTTAGGAAGCCTTCGACAGACTCTGTCCACAAAGCGCTGCATCCATCACCAATTCAGACGACTTCTGCTGTTAGCTAGTCTTCTGCTCCTACGCCTCTGTTCTCTACCTGGGCGCCACGCTCTGGCAGCGCCCCAGAGATCGTCCCGATGAGGGGGATGGGAAGCTCGCCCCCCCTGCAAACACGTCAAGCAGGAGGCAATCGACCCACGCCCCTAGAAGTAGCAAAGCCCTCCTGGTGATACCGCCGGGGGCTCCGAAAAAAACAATCCGTGCATCACCTTCCATGCCCGTGCGGCTGTATGTGTATATTCCGAAACAGACCGGGCATAGGATCGACCACCGGCAATAAAATGATGATCGCACGCAGAAGCTGATCATGGTAATCTTAAATGTCAACAGTCACAATTGCTATGCTATGAGTCGCACTGGTCAAGTGACAATGATGAGAACACAGCCGAAGCCATCAAGACAGGCTCAGAACGCTTGCACTGACCTCGCAACACTTCCATCTACGATCATGAGCGGTAGCCCACGCACTCCCTGCATACGCCAAACCCATTCACACTTCTGTTGCAGGCGACCCTCAAATCACCGCCACCACCACCACCACCATCACCACCACCACCACCACCACCACTACTACCACTACCAGAAGCGACTCAAGCAGCAACAGCAGCAGTGGTATCAGTAGCATCATGAGCAGCAGCTGCATTCTGAGACTCGATCATCAACAAACGGAACATGGAGGAAAGGGCTTGGAAACTGCAGGTCCTTCAAAGCTGAGGCCGGAGCAATCGGGAAGTAGGGCAAGTTCTCACCCTCACCACGGTCAACTGCCGGCCCTGGCGCACGAGGCGAGGGCAGGAGCAGCATGGCAGGAAAGAGCCACTTATCGGAGGGACTGGCCCTGCTTATGACCCGACTACCGATACGAAGTACTGCGCTGCCACGGCTGATCAGGAGGCTCTTTAGGCTGCAGTCCCTGTCAAATTTCCAGTCAAGGCGGCCCTTTCAACCCTAAACCCTATAGGCCCTGAATCCTGAGCCCTGAACTCCCTACTGTAGTCTAGGAGCTTGAAGGATTTTAGGGTTTGAGGGCTTTGGCGGGGACTCGGGGCTCGACAGATTTCGGGGGCTCACAGGTCTTTCAGGGCCCACTGTCAGACAGAAGAACCAGAAGCTTCCCGCTGAAATTTGAGGAAAGCCCCCACATCCCAAGGCCGCAACAGCCTCCAAAGCCCTTCCACGCCAAACCCAATGCCTACAACTCCCGAAAACCCTTGGCGTAATCTCTCGAAGGTCGGAGCCCTCGGAGAACATGCAGCAGCACCAAAAGACCCCAACAAAACGGCTGTGAAACCCAACCAGAAACGTCCCCAACAGCCCTCCTGCCTTGGCATACAACTGGAAAAGCACCCTACCCAGGAAACCCCTAAAACCTAGACCCCGACACCCGAAACCCTAAAGCCCTAAACCCCTAAACTCCTGAAGCCTAAACAACACTTAACAACCCTAAACAACCCTAAGTCCCGAGAACCCTCGGCGTCATCATCTCTCGAAGGCCGATCCTCTGAGAACAGCAAGCATCAAAAAACGCCAAACCGTCTGTGAAAACCACCAACACCCCAATCCCTCATGCCTTGGCCTACGGCTAGCAAAAACCGAACCCTAACCCCCGAACCCCAAATCCCTCGACACCCCAAACCCCACGAAGTGCTTTGAATCCCGGCGAGGACCTTGCTCGCATCCAGCTCCGAAACGGCCGGCCTCGGGAGGCTTGTGGTTCAGTGCTCACAGCGTAAGTCGTAGGGCCTTTTCTGGCATAGGGTTGTTTTGAGTTATTTTGGGTTTTGGGGTAGTGTGGTCTTGGGTGTGGAGGTTTTGGGTTTGGGTTTGGGGTTGATTGAAAGACTTTCGGTGTACAGGGTTCAGGTTTGAAGCTTTTGGGCGCGTGGCTGCGAGCTGTCTGTGCGGCTCCTTTATCTTGTGGGCGAGCAACGAAGGTCTTCGACTAAGGATTCGTAGGGTTTTGTCTCACTGCTGCTACAAACAGTTGTTTGCTCCTGGGCTGAGTTAAATGTCTGGTTCGGGGTTTGGGGTTTAGGGCTTCCCAGCCTTGGCTGACAGGAACTGATGTGCTTCTAAGGGGCTTTCGGACTCAGGATTGAGCAGTTTCTGTCCTGATCGAACGACACTCAC